TCTTCTGCATATTTGTTTTGTATTGTATTACTTCCAAAGTTCCTTGTTGCTAATCCTAGTAAAGTTAAACAATTACAGCCGAAACCACAGTGACTTTGAAAAATCAATCAGAATTCAGATTCAGAAAAGTCACATAATCGTTGAAAAATTCACTAAAAATCATTGCAAACATGATATTACACCATGAAGCTGTCGCTCATGAGCTGTAAGAATGTCTCCAAGTCACCACACAGATGATCTATAGAGAAATCCTACCATACGTGATAGATGCATTCATGCAGGTGACTGTAAGTTATGGTACTTAGAGATCTATTGATATTTCTGATAATGTGATTTAACCCACTCCTGAATCTCACTATAACCCCAAACTCCCAATCCCAAATTTAATCCTAATCCTAACCTTAACACTAGACACTAAACCTTAATTAAAAAAGCCATAACCCAACCTAACAGTATAGATTTACAGAAAAAGTACCCAGGGAATAAGTGGAATACTCTACCTACCTTGTCCAGTTCCATAAAGGCAGACATGATGATTTGGAATGACCTTTCATAGTAGTCCCTGTATTTGATTGGTTCTTTAAGGTCAACTTTTCAAACACTCGGGCTTTGGCTATGGTACTTTAACTTCACCCTAATCCTTACTAGCTATCTGTTCTTCAGCTGGTCCTAAGCCAGGAAAATGAGGGGACACTGGGCATGGGTTGAGTGACCATACCCTGGAAAATACCGACCTAGTCGTTAAAGAAACTTCGAGGTATACATAGATCAATGTTATCTACACACTGGAAGGCCATTTCTGTCGTCGGGGGTCGAGCTTATCAACAGTGTGTCCAGTTTGATCCAACTCAGACAGCTGTATCAGCATAAACTACCCAGTTTACTCCTTATTCATGCCTACCTAATTATTCTCCTGTAGTACACTTATTTGTTGATTGTAGGTTCCTTCATCTATTTTCTTCATCTGTTTTGATATGTACTTCGTCTGCTACGAAGTGTCGTAAGTTCAACTGCTGCACTTTTATGCAAAGTTCTGAGTTGTTAAGTCATTCTGAGGTAGAGCAGGAATTACTTTCACTCCCTTCTTATCAACATAAAGTATGCTGAAAACTAGGATTAAAGTAGACTTCACAAGATGAGGATCTGGCTATGTGTTTATAGATAGTGGACAGAACTAGCACGAATTCATTCAGAGTGATCATTATGTCAGTAATGACGCAATAATAATAATACTGTTGACTTTAGGGTTCAATACAAATATTGATCACCAACAACCTTTGACCTCATAAGGATGAGTATAGAAGACATATTGGTCATTGTCGGTAAGGATAATTCAATTTGACCATACAAAAATACATTATGTGGAAGTAAAATCAACCTCGGAAAGTTAAGCCGACAACTAACCAATTATATTACTTGCATAAGGTTGGGCTTCTAGGTTGTTTAATCACACTGTATAGTAAATATTTTTTGCCTTAGCCTAACGGTCTAAATTTGTCTATACTGGTTTAAGTTTGTGTATATCTGTTGTAGCTGATTTTAGGCCGTTTCCTATCAGTAATGATCACTTCAAATTTAGTAGTAAGCAGGTGTTTCATTATTAGCTAGTCATGCAAACAGCTGAATACATTTGAAAACTCTATGTACAATGGTTATTTACAAGTTTAAAAAGTACCTGAATTTAAGTAATATTCAAATGACTAGTTTTCGGGGATTATTCGACAAGTTTCCGACAAAATCAATTATGACCTAATTTGTTAACTGTATCTGTCACCGGAAGCTTTATATATACAGAGTAGAAGTTTGTTTATTAATGATCAAGAATTATATTAATTATGGTATATTTTATAGTCAATTTCTGGGCAACTTTAAACTGTCAGAATAATTACTGTCTACTCAGATTATTATTATTATTATATACTAAATATTATTAATTACATTTCACTCTTGACTTTCCATTCACATAGCATTTTTCTGAAAAACTAAAAGACAATTTAGATTAGAATAATAATTTGCTTTATTCCAAAACAGTACTTGTGACACAGAATGGAATTCTTAGCATTTTACTACAGTATTGCATCCAGTTTGTACATTATCAATAAATAAAATTCTACATAGATAATGGGTAATCTCAGTTAATTTTGACAACAACATATTAGCATATCAGTAGCAAAGCCAAAAGCGAACAGAATGTTTGAAGGTGTTAGAAAAGTGGATACTAGCATATTTACTGGCGTAAGCAGTAACAAAAAGGTCGAGATATACAGAGTGTGAAAGAACATAAGAAAAAAGGAGAAAAGGAAAAGAAAGAAAGAAAACGTTGTACCTATAAATGATATGAGTTGAAAAGACAAGATCCAATTGTTCTACTGAATATTTAATGAATTATAGGTGTCACGCCTAATGCTTTCTTTATCGCACACAACACGAGCTAAGTAGGGTATGGTTGAGTTTTTGTATTTACTAGTGTGAGCATATAGTTTCCTATATAGGCTTCTGGTTTTACTTGATGAGATGCAAGGGGAGAGTTGTGAATGAAGAGGGTGGTGTGAGTTAGATAGAATGGATTTAGTTCATTTTTCATATGAGTCCAAGTGCCTGTCAACCAGAATATTAACAAGCTGGTTAAGTGACACATTGCTTACCCTGCTGAAAACCTTTAACACCCTACGTAGTAAGATATGGTCCTTCTTCAGTAACCCTGGAAAAACTAAGGCGGGACAATAGAGAATAATAGGCAGGATGCAAGAGTTAACGAATCGTAGGAGTAAGGGTTGGGTTATACCAGAATGTCTTAACTTCTTGATGTAGAAGGTAAAACGGAATATTTTCTTAGAAATCATTAAGATATGAGACGACCAGGAGAGATCAGCAGATAGAATGACGCCTAGGTATTTAATTTCCGACTTGGTTTCTATTTCAGTGCCATCTATGTTGCACACCTCGTGAATGCTAACCAGTCTGTTTAGGTCAGATTTATGCCTGAAGGTGAAATTGACTGTTTGACATTCAGAAGGATTTAAGGTAAGACCATTTTCCTTGGACCACTGGCTGATTTCTGATAAAAAGCCATTTAGTTTGGAGCAGTCACTTTGACATTTGACAGGTAAAGATACAGTCAGGTCGTCAGCATATTTAACAAAATTAATGTCATTTGAAGATGGTAAGTCATGTAGAAAGAAAGAAAAGAGAATTGGAGAGAGTACAGCACCCTGGGGGACACCAGCTTCAGTGAGCACAGCAGAGGATGATTTACCTTTGTATACAATGTACTGCATTCTGTTTGAGAAATGGGAATGCAGCCAGTTAGTGACCCAGAACTCAGTTTGTGTCATCGAGAGCTTATTTAGCAAGAGCTTATGAGGATTTCGGATTAATTAATTTAAAATTGTTAGATGTTTTACACTAGGCGGCAGGTTCTTCACAGTGCACACCCTCGAATCCACCAGGGATTGAACCAAGAACAATCAAATTACGAGACGAAGCTCGTTGACCATTCAGCCACTTAGTCCGGAATTCTATGACTCATGAATTCTAACACTATCAACTCGTAATAAAGCTCTACCCCCCACCAATGCTTCAATGAGCATTTACTTTACCTTGACGCCTCAAGTGGCTAAATGTGAAATAATTTTCTGGATCTGTGTAAATAACGAAATAATTTGAAAATCATGAATTCGGTTCAACTCAGCCCTCACCCTAACTTGAATATAACTCTTAATCCTAAACTTAACGTCATCCCTTACTCCTATCCCTAGTCTTATGTTGGTGTGATACAGACAATTGGTTCCAACAGAATTTTCTCACAGTAAGAATCATTGTATTTGTTGGAGTTAAGGTCTGAATACAATCAGCATAAATGGGAGGAATCCAAAAGAAGCAACCTCTTTTACATTCCTGGGAAGCATCGTTTCAACTACAGGTGGAAGTGATGCGAATATCAGGGCAAAACATGCCTTCATTACTCTCAAGTCTGTGTGGAGATCAATAGCACTCAGCATGAAAAATAAGATTCGGATTTTCAACTCCAAGGTGAAGTCAGTGCTACTATACAGAACTGAGACTTGGCTCGTCACTTCGAATAAACTACAGACCTCCATCAACAGCTGTCTTCGCTCAATAGTTCACTCAAGATCAGATGGCAAAAAAAGTTCAGCAACAGGACCGGATCTCTGGGAGCGAACAAATATGCAGGAAGAAATGGAGATGGATTGGCCATACTCTGAGAAAACAAACCATCAAGTGACATCACACGCCAGACCATCGCCACGGTGGAACCCGAATGGGAAGCAGTGAGGTGGTCGTCAGTGCGACGGTGACATGTAGGAGGTCATGTGAAGAGGAGATGAAAGCATGTGGGCAGACGTAGAACCAGGTGAAAACGTTGGCAGAGAACCGAACGCAATGAAGACGTGCTGCTGAAGCCCTATGTTCCCCTAAGAATTGAAGGAAACAACAATAATAATAACTATTCCCACAGTTCAATAGTGCATTAGCAACAGAATACTATATACATATATATATATATATATATACCTCGGCTTCCGTGTCTTGCCTTCTGCTGTTACAGTCTAACCGTTAACTTTAAACCTATACATTAAAAGTATATCAGTCAGGTAGGTAGAAAGCTGTTGAAGTAAAACCTTTCACTGCATTCACGACGATAGCTGTTATTCCTTTCCTTCACTATAATAAATTAAAGAGGAGGCTTGAAAAACAGTCACCTACAATAACTCGTAAAAACAAAATCTAATCCTTACAAACCAACTATTGAAAACCCCATAATAACGTTGTTTTTTTTCGTCCATGTACGATATGCCATAACTTTCAATGATCACCACCTACCTGTATTTGAAAAACAGACAGATAAACTATACGAGATAAAAAACAACTGACTATCTATCCAATCAAAATCTTTGCCGATTGAAATCATTCCATAAAATGACCTTGTCCTTAATAGTTCAGAGATCTTTATATTACTTATTTCATATGAACATTTTTTTTTTTATTTGTTTATACTTTCACTAGTTTAGCTTTAAGGGAAAACTTCTAAAGAATTGAGTGGTTGTTGTTGTTGCTGTTGTTGTGATTATTATTAGAGAAGATGTCAACTGCTAATCGTGAAATAATCAGCATTCCTGTAAATTGTGAAAAACGTACTTTTGAAAAACAAAGACGCGACTTGTTGAATAGTTTACAAAATAAAAATCAAGAAAACTCACTTAGTTTATACAGTGATGACTGGTCAGATAAAATTGACAACTGGATAACTTCATCATGGAGAACATGGGACAAAGATATACAACGTTTAAGAAGTGGAATGTTTTCCCTGTTGGTAAGTGAAATCATTCTTTTTTGCCCAGAATCCTTGAAAATTGCAATTCTAAGCGTTGGTTTATAGTGAATTGTGATGGATATTGTCTAGGTTGGTGAATCACTGGAAACGAGGGAGTATTGGACAGCCTTGTTTCGCCCTAGTTTGGGAAACTTCAGCTGTATGCGCCCATGATCTTTACTAGGAACAGAACCTTCAGGTCATGTGGCTAGCACGTTAAGGGTCAGTCGCTGGGTAGGCATCCAATGACTCATGAATCCTCATTTCTGTCCACCAGTGATATATATATATAACCTTAGCAGCAACCAATTTCATCAACCGGTGACTTTCTATACACCAAACATGATAATATAGGGTGGACACGATATCTTATTAGGCATCCAGGAATTTCTTCCTATTTCTAGTCACTAATGTGTATTATAAGTTATCACGATTATTATTACTATTATTTGTTCCTTGCTTTCGAAGTGGGACAAAGGGCTTCAGGGGCATATTTCCGCTTTAGTCAGTTTTCTCCAATCTTTTCCATCTGTTACTGCGATCACCCATACGCTTGCATTTCCTCTTCACACAATCTTCAGCATGTCACCCACAAACTCACACTTAAATCGCCGCTTCCTATTAGGGTTTCCCTAGGCGGTATGCTTGGCTTGTGATGTCACATAACGGTCTTTTGCAATGAATGTCCAATCTATATCCATTTACTCCTGCATATTTGTTGGACAATAGGTTGTTTCTGAAGGTTCGTGAAGCTTCAGTGGAAAAGTTATAACCAAGAGGGTCCACTGTGTCAAGGGAAATTAGACACTCATCGAATGAATTGGTGTGGGGTAGCGTGATATCACAAGTTGATAAAGTTTAAATTCATGGGTCATTAAATGGTCATATAACCTGAAGATCCTTGGTTCAATCCTTGTTGAGTTCGTGGATGGGCCTTGAGAAAGAGTCCCGAAATAGGATGAAACAGTTGTATGGTATTCCCTGGTTTTCATTGATCTCTCTAACTCATGTTGATTCGTGAGCATATCAAACAAACGAATTTAATCCAAAATCCTCAAAAATCCTATAACCTGAAAAAGCTGTCGGTTCATTTAATGCCTTCCAGAGAACTTTCATGGTTACCCCTTCTGACCCACACCATCTGATCCTAAGTATCGAAGCAGAGAAGACAACTGTTGATGAAAATCCGTATTAATCTGTTGGAAACGCTTCTAGTGATGCAAACAAAAAGTCTTTGAACCATTAAGATACACTGACTAACTTCATATCAGCGCTATAGATTTGGATCTCATTCCTTGTCCTGAATATTGCAGATCTCCACACTCATCTCACAGGTCTGTCTTGTTTTCTGGATACTGGCTGGTTTTGACATCCTCTAATCCATGCCGTCTATCTGTAGTTCAAACCATACTGATAAGGTGGGGGTAAATGAAAGAGATGACTTCTTCTTCTAGATATGTCCCTTTGACAATGACTGAAGTTACTAATGAGTAGTATATCAATTTTCAGATGCTTACTCGTAAAAATCTGTTGAAATCTAATGTTTTTCATCATAAGCTGAAATCGGTTAGAGAAACAATGGAAAACTACATGGGAGTACTGGACAGCCGTTTCGTCCTAGTTTGGGACCCTTCAGCAGTACGCACCCACCGCCGGGGTTCGAACCCAGAACCTTCTGATTACAAGGCGAGCTCGTATACCAATAAGCCACTGGGACCTGATCAAATGGTCCTAGGTTCGAACCCTGGAGGTGAGTGCGTACTGATGAAGAGTCCCAAACTAGGACGAAACAGCTCTCCAGCACTCTTAAGTGGTTTTCCAATGGTTCTTTAACTGACGTCAGCTCATGATGAAATCCTGTAACCAATCAAATCCCTACAAAACAACACTTAAATAATTTGTTTTTTTTTCATTATTCATTCATATCTTCATATGTATTACTTTGCATTTTAGCCATTGAATGCTTTTGGTCTACTGGGTACATGTGATCCACTTATATTAATGAATGAAATGGAACATCAGGTACAAGATATAAAAAATCAAATCTGTGCTAATGATATTCCATCAATCGGTGTATTGAATGATTACCTTAAAGATGCTTATGAAATAGGCGAAGATGGAAAGGTAAGCTTCACAAATTTTCACTTTGTTTTCTATTCGATGAAGTTTAACAATACCAGTTCCACCCCGAGGGATAAAACCTTCAACAAACGGTTGAGAGGTAGAGTTGGTGTAACCAAACCAAATTATGCCTCTTGTTCTTCATTAACTTTACGATTTCCAGGAAGATCGAGTGTTTGATTATTGCATGAATAATGAACTAGATGGAGTTAATGCAGACATGCATATCAAAGGGTTAAGATTGATAGCATAACTGGTCTTTTGGGAGATAGATTGCGAACAGAATCAGAGAGATAAATGAATCTCAGGGCACCATCGTCACATTGGTCTTGTTTCTAATAATTCTGAGATTTTTATTGCAGCTAAAGTTTAATTTCACCTTCTAATCTGTGGCATGTGCTACTGATAATATTTATCAGTAGTATATATAAAGAGACGTTCATTGGTATAAAAACATCAAATAGCATGGAGATACATTTGACGTCAGAGAAAGAAAATGATATAGCATTGTGAAGACACATGGGAGAAGTGAAAGGAACACAAAGAAACACAATATGAAGGAAGACGAGATGTAGTACAAGACAGAAGATGTGTGCAAATGGTGCGTTGAAGATTTGTAAATTATTTTGCAGTTTTCTAATTGAACAGTCGAAAGAGGTGAAATCCCACATACTGTGGTCTGAATGATTTAGTTTTTAAAGGAAACTATGGTAATAATTTAATTGGTGGATGGTGACTAGCAGTGTAATCCAGGACAACACGCATTTCGTCCTGTCTGGGACTCGTCATCTGGATGTACCTGCATTCCCCAGTGAGTGATGATGTTCCCACACTGCTAGTCACCATACACCAATTAAATTCTCATTACATGCCCAGACATAGTAGAAGCATCTGCGCAAGAAGCCAACATGTCAACCTGAAACCGAGCACTTCGGTGCAATCAATCGACGGGAAAAATCTAAAATTCAATTAAAGAAACTGTGGTAAGATGCCACTTCCTCGAACTGTGTAAATTTTAAATTGTGAATTAGATTCAAGGTATTACTAGTTTACCTAAGTAGCCAGCCGGAAATCGGATGATTTGATCTCAGCCGGCTCTCTGAACTGAGTCAAACCGGCCATACCTCTGATAAGTTTAGTCGGTGTAGTTCTATACGATGTTATTTCCCTTGTTTGTTTTATTTTTCAGTTACGTTTCAAGGTTCGTTTTGATGTGAATGGATTTCAGCCAGAAGATATCCAGTTGTCATTAGATGATAATTATATTAAGGTACAAGCAAAGAAAGAGATTAAAACCAATAATTCATGTACTTCTCGTGAATTCTGTCGTATAGTTGGACTACCTAAAACTATTAATCCTAACGAATTGAAATCTAGTCTCACTAGTGTAAGTTAATTTTTTTAAATTTTCATTCCTTTTGAGTTCTGAATGGAATATAGGACTTCAAGGTTTGAGTTTTGAAATTTTGAAGTATCTGTTGAACTGGTTTTAAGGGGTTGGTGTCATAACATTACATCCAGCCAACACAAATACAGAGGGTTAGTTTCACATATGCCAGTTTACGCCGTCTCTGGCGTAGGCGTGATATCCGACTATCGACCAAAAGGCGTGTGTACTGCTCATCAGTCCGCCCCGTCCTCCTTTATGGCTGTGAGACCTGGCCATTGAGAGCGGAAGACATGAAAAGATTAGCTGTCTTCGATCATAGGTGTCTGCGTTCTATCTCCCGCGTGAAGTGGTATAATAAGGTGAGCAATATTGAGGTTAGGCGTCGAGTGCTAGGTAAGACGGGGAAATCAGTCGACGAGACTGTGAAATAACATCGACTGAGATGGTTAGGACATGTGTTACGTATGCCTAGTCATCGCCTTCCTCACCGGGCAATGTTAGCTGATATAGGGCCAGGCTGGAAAAGAGCTAGAGGCGGTCAAACCAAAACATGGCACCAGTCAATGAAATCTACAACAGTTAGTCTAAGCCACGTAGGAAGGTGTAGACTTCCTGGTTGGGGTCCTCGGGACGGTAAAAACCAATGGTTGGAAACAATTGGTGACATGGCTCAAAATCGTTCTCAGTGACAGCGCAGATGCATCTACTCCTTGTGACTTATGATTTCCAATCAAACTGTTTTGTTCTTCGTTATTACTATATATTTGTCTCACACCTCTGTTTACTGTCTATATTATGCATTTCTCCTACTTTCTTCTCTTGCTTTGTGTGCTACATGAAGGGAGTGTGGCGACTTGAACTGCCGCACATATGTGCAAATTTCTATGTCGAAAATCGACCGACCGACAGATCCAACCTTCCCTCTTTTCCGGTATTGTTGTCGGCTGGGAATGCAGCCTCGGACTAAGTACCTGAACCGCTGACGCATTGTATAATTTAATATGACTGTTGTTTTAGACTGTGGGTTTTATAGGGATTTGAACCAACACATCAGTTAGAGAATGACTGAATATCAGAATGGACTGGATAACTGTTTCATCCTAGTTTGGGACAGTGCACACCCTCACTGAGAGATTGAAACTGTGGTCAGTGGCGTCGGTGGCAGAGTGGTTAGGACTCTCGCCGACCAAGCACATGGTCCGGGGTTCGATCCCCTGCCGACGCACACCCGATATCTATGGTCGGCCTGTAAATTTGGGCTACCGATATCCATGCTGAAAATTCCATACTTGTACTGAAAATACGGTGTGGAATCAAGCTGTAATCAAAAAATCAAAAAAAAAACCCATGTGAAATGGTTCATCATCGATAGCATAAGTTGGTCGTAGATTTATCTCAAGGAATGAGAGAGAGAAGTTAGATTCAAGCGGCTGAATTTAAGTCGACAAGCTGTCCTTTCAAAATGAATGTTCAGGGTTTCGATCCCTGGTGCGGTCTTAGTTGCACACTGTTGAAAAGCCCCAAACTAGAACGCAGCGATCATCCAGCATTCCCTGGTTTTCAATGATTCTCTTCTAACTGACAAAATCTAAATTAATTTTATATTTGTGAACGCTATTCACATTTATACTTCAAAAATACGCTTGCATATATTTCAGGATGGTGTACTGATGTTAGAAGCACCAGTCAGTGTGCCAGAGAATCAAGCAATTACATTCAATAATAATGGTCAGATTGCTATTCAACCGAATACAAGTCAGGACAATGCACTAGTTGTTAAAGGTGAGACTATAATGACACTTAATCTAACTACGCAACTATTTTATTCGCTAAATAACTTATTTTTCTCTTTTTAGGTGTTCATGGTTGCTCATTTGTAGAGGATGAAGATAAGAAGAAGAGATTACATATAGAAATGCCAATAGATCCAATCTATAAACCGAAAGATTTATCTATTGGGATCGATTCTAACCGTGTAATCATTTCTGGTCGACATCATAGTGAGGAAAATGTTCAATCAGGGAATTTGGATTCTTTCTCTGAATTTAGTCATTCTTATAAAATACCTGAAACATTGGATCCTTTATCTGTTATCGCTCAAATGATTAATGATACACTGGTTTTGGAAGCGCCATTATTGAATTCTAATTCTAATTAACTAATCAATTAATGTTAGATTATTAGAATTGACAAAGACTTATGCTTCAATGTTGTACCTCTGTGTAACTTATTTCAAATAAATTAAATGTGTGCACCAGATCTCATTCACTTTACTACTAGAGGTAAATAAAGTGCTTGGTGTGCATTGCTTTTCTCCCAATCTCTTGTATTTCGAGTGGAACACGGGACTTCTAGCATTAAGCGTGGAAGTTTCAGTAGCAGTGATGTTGTTTCTTACGGGACTGCTAGCCTCACATCCAACCTTCTTTGTTTTCTCAGCTTACTTACTACCAGCTAGTAATCCAGAAGAGGTTTAGGAGTGCATTGGGTGGGAATCGAAATTGGTCTACACGAATAGCTGGCAAGCATTCTACCACTGAACCACCGATGAGCAAAATACCAATGACTTATAGATAGATGTTTTGTTCACGCTTTGGGCTTCTCATCTATGTGCTCCCACGGTTACTGGGACTGTGGTGTAGTATGGCTTCTGCCTATTTAAACTAAGTCTAATATTCACTGATATGCTTATAGGCAATCTGCTCAATGTGGAATGGTTGGAAGTAGTCGGCAGGATGCCTTGTATCTAGGTTCCATGCTTATTTGGATTCGTCAGAAGTCACATTAACAGAATTCAGTCTGTGCTAACACCAAGGACTAGACGCAGGGCATTAGTTACCACCTAGCGTCCAATCAAAGCATTCAATATAGTCCCACAGGAGGCTAATCGCCAGTCCGAATAGATAAGTTGTAACAACTCTCACCGCTGCACTAGTTGACTCGAGATCAATCCCCAGAAGGTACATGAGTCAGTCCCTTCAAGGTTGTAGACACATCTTTCTGACAAGTGCCAACAAGCACGAGAACCAGGTCAGGCAGGGATTCCTGATCATTGCTTCCAACCATCTAATAACAACATTTCAGAGTATACCGTGATGGCAAACGACCAGGCTTGGTGAGAACACTGTAAACTTGATTGATACAATCCAGTCTGTAGCAAACAAAGGATGATTAGACGATTGACACTAGTTACTGCCTAGGTTTTCTGTGATATTCTACTGAATATACAGAAATTACAACAATATTCAGAAGATTTTAAATATCTTAGTGAGCAAAAGGAGATCTGAAGAACTAATTGCTGTTAACATTACTCAAATGGCTATGCTTGAACTGATGAAATGGAGTACATTACTGAGTCGCATACAAAGATAAGCACACAATTATTTCACGTTACAAGTACATAATGCTCGTATTTAAATTTCATTTTGTATAGCTTAAATATCTTAACAGTATCTCAGCAGTTCAGCAGTAGAATACGGGTCAGCCATACAAGTGATCTGGATTTGATTCTCAACAGACACATTCCTAAACTTCCTATAATCTACTTCAACGAGGCTAATTGTGGTGGACTGGATTATGCGTCAGACTGTGGTGAATAAGAAAACAGGAATATGCTGGACGACCGATAAGAAGACTCTAGAAGATCTTGATTTACCATTTGGATGATATATGTCTAATGTCACACAAACTTGAAGACTTGCAGGTGAAAACCAGCAAACCGGCAGAAGAGGCTGGCAGGCAGAGAAGAGAGGACTTCAGGTGAACATAGAGAAGACGGAAGTGATGAAGACAATCAACGAACCACAGCAGTTACCTCCTTCATTTATCCGGCTAGGAAGCATCCTTTCAACTACAGGAAGTCGGAACGGATGAAGATGTGAAAGCCAGCCAGCCAGAATCGTAAAGGCAAGATACACCTTAAACAACCTGAATGCAGTTTGGAAATATTCTGGACTCCGCCTCAGCATGAACAACAAGATTCAGATTGTCAACACAAATATGAAGTCGGTCAGTGCTTCTGTACGGGTCAGAAACTTGGCAAGAGTGTCAAGAAAAGTATTTTTAACAAGTTACTGCAGACTTTTATCAACAGCTGCCACGTTCGCTGGCTCCATACTAAAGATCAAATGGCCAGCCGGCTAGAAAGAATTAGCAGCAAGAAATTCTGGCTGGCTGGCGACTAGTCAAGCAAGAGTCGACTGCTCAACGAAAATTGTAGGAGAAAATGGTGGTGAACCGGGCATATGCTGAGAAGACCGTCGAATGAAATCGCGCGCAATGCAAGCCATCAACCGAGTGGAATGCGAATGGGAAACGACGATTGGGATATTGGTGCAAGGGTGACATAAAGGAGATCATGTGGCAAGGAGGAGATGAGAGGTTATGGGCAAACAAGGACCCCGGGGAAGAGAATGCAAGAATGTGCGTCGGTGGCACAGTGGTTAGGACTCTCGCCGATCATGCACATGGTCCGGGGTTCGAACCCCTGCCGGCGCACACCCGATATCTATGGTATGCCTGAATTTGGGCAACCGATATCCATGCTGAAAGTTCCACACTTGTACTGAAAATACGGTGTGGAAATCAAGCTGTAAATCCAAAAAAAAAAAAAAAAAAAATAAAAGAAAGTGGAAATGTGTTGTTAAAGACCTATGTTCAAAATGGAACACAAGGGAATAAGAATAACATTATAATAGCAGTCTCATCCCGTAAAAATAGAACCATCACCACTGAATCTGTAGAAGTTAAAGCTTAAAAATCCAAATAACACTAGCAACAAAAAGCAATGAGCATATCAGTTTTAGTCTCCCATTTTTCTTATTGATTCATTTGACCTTAAACGCCCTTCATTCATTTCACTCAACATAGCTACACAGATATACAATAAACATTACAACATTATCAGATAGATAGTTTATATATATATATATATATATATATATAACAGAAGTCATTAGATGCGAGATGATGTCTTTCAGGCTTCTGCAGACCACCAGGCGTCTGAAGAACACTATTCTCAGTATTCTTGCAATGACTGTTATTTTCAAAGACGTCGGAATTCTTCTGTTAAGGTCATTCATTGCATGTTAAGTCACTCTTCAAATAAGGTTTACATGAAGTCGTTTTTCGACATGAACGATGTCTCATGTTTATAATCTTGACGCAATTTATACTGTCATGTGATCTGAGTAATGTTGGTTTCGGAAGAAAACTTCAGTGGGATTTCATCCTAGACTTCAAATTTAATAAACAATTGATTCAGATAATAATAATAATGGTTTCAATGGAGATATCGTCATGCACCAAAATCATTTGGTGGCCAGGGGAAACCAGGGAGTACTGGACAGTTTTTTCGTCCCAGCACAGGACTCCTTAGTAGTCCATAACTTTCACCCCACTCATATTCGAAATATGAATAATAGTAATGATGAAACTAATCTACAACTAAACTAGGTATTTTAGATAACACCTTCAACGAATTGAATGTTCAACTAATTTATCCCTTTGTATTTCGATGTACTTCTGAAGACTTGAGTATATCCCCTTTCAAGAATTCTTATGATATCCTCTTTGCAACAAATATCTCACCCACAAAAGACAAAGTCACAATTCATGGGTAATTGAATTCCCTCCCCCCACACCATCCATATCTAAATAATCAACCAGCTTACCAGCTTAGCCTCGTAACCTGAGGGTCCTGCGGTTCAATTCCTGGTGACGGTAGTGGATGCCAGTGCTGAAGATTCTCAAGCCAGGATGAAACGTCTGTTCTCAATGATCCACTACAAAATGTGTTATTCCGTGATGAGATCTACACTGAAATTTGAAAATCTGTTTTCACTGGATTAGTGAGACAGACAGTCATACAAATAATGGAAAGAGAAGACGAGCTGAGCAGCGAATCTGTATTCAGTACAAAATGAAGTTTAAATTGCAAGCATGGATGGAGTCTTACAATCTAACAGTCTTTGTTATCTTCGTTAACGTTAAGCCGTCGTAAATGTTATACCTCTCGTGTTAGTTTACTAACTTCACAGCTTCTTCCTGCAAGGAAAGAAACAAAAACATCAGTTACTGTTTTGCTTTGGTTTGGTTTGGTTTGGTTACGTTGCTTCCTCTCCTCTGAAGGCACTGTCCTCAGTTCCAAGGACTAGAACTTCATGTTGGAAAGCAGTAGATGGTGATTTTTCGAAGATGGGGAGACTTTGCAGGAGGCTGTCCGATGAGGTTTCAGCTGATCACGGTGGGCAGTAATGATATCGACACTTGATTGATGCAGGTTTTCCAGGAAACAGGTAGTTGGAGGACACGCCCACATTATTTCAAATGGTCCGTGCCATGCCAAATAGAATCTCAGGGCTCTTCCAGATACACAGTAGAGCTAAACATAATCCAAAACAGAATACACTGTACTGCGATCTAGACGACCATACACACTGTTCTGATGGTAGCTGGAAAACTGCTGTTGAGTGTATGCCAGATGATAAGTTATCGCCAGAGTCGTACTTGAATCTCAACTGGAAGACGTAATTCATGATCGAAAAAAAGTAAAGCAAGAGAAAAACCTGTATTAGTATGAATGGAAGGTCGGTAGGCGAGCAGGAACTGGGGTATTGCATCATCTCAAGTATCTGTTGATAGTCGACGGAGAACAGCTCTCTCTCACTATAGTCCTGATCATTCTATTATTGTGTTCAGCCAGTCGATTCCCTCTGAATATTAGGCATTTGTGTGAGTCTTCTGAATACGAAATGCGTTGCAGAAGTGAACGATAAATTGACTCTCGAAGACCGTGCCCTGGTCAGAATGTAATGATTGTGGGTCCTACAAAACGTGTTTGATATTTATTATTATTCCTCTGCGTTCCAAGTTGAACATAGTCCTTCAACAACACATCTTCATTTTGTTTTGTCTTCTGTTGTCCTCTTTAGCTGGCTCCACTATTGAAGAGTCTCCCTTATTTCTTCCTCGCCGCACTATCTCCTCGCACCAACGACCCACTCGTCAATTCCCGTTTGAATTCCACTTGAGAGATGGCCTGGCGTGCGATGTCATTCGGCGGCCTCCTCAAAATATGCGAGCCCCACCAATCTCCACTTTCTCCTACATTTTGTTGAGCGATCAGCTCTTGGTTTGTTTCTTCCCACAGTTTCTTGTTGCTTATTATTTCTGTCCAGGTGGCCATTTGATCATGAGTATGTAGGCATTCTCTCCAGGATGCGAATTAGTATTCTACCTGGCATGTATGGACAAG